AATCTTATTTCCAGCTTTATTCCCTTTTACTGCTCCTCCCCCTACTCTGCAGACCTCTGTGAATTGAAAACTATACTGATTATCCCTGAACTGTTCGCACAAATCTTTTAGGAAATAACCTTTGTTAGTACCCGGAATAGATTTGAGAGGGAGCGCCTCCATCTTCATGATTTGTGAGGATGTAAAGAACATGTAAACACTGAATTTCAGGTAAAATATACTATTAGTAGAACTTACTGAAAATCCAGTTCAGTTTTCTTTTGAGGAAGCTTGAAAATATTTGTCATACAGCATCGCTGTTCTATCACTGAGATCGATTCTGCTCTCTTAAAGCCCATCTCTTGGCTACCTTCGCACTGCAAGGGTTAACTGCTCATTTTGTTCAGGGGGCTCAAATAAAGTAGATTTCGCCATCTCCATCCAGGCTGCTAGACATGTCCCCACAGCTTCTTCTCCCTTTACTCCAGCGGTCTACTGACCTGCATGAGATGTGAGGGCGCCAAGGTACAGTCCAATGTTAGGAGTGGAGGGGGAGCAGAAGTGAGCGCTGACTGCCACGGGACTGGGGATCAGGGAAGTAAATCTGCTGCATTTGAGTTCCCTAGACAAAACAAGCACTTAACCCTTGCAGTATGAGGGTAGCCCCACTGCAAGGGTATGCTTTTTCTTTGCCCGGAGATGGCCCTTAAAGTGTAAATTTGGTGGCTTTGGAGCAATTTAGATTTTTTGCATATTTTTTATTATATTTTATATAATTGTTATTTATATAAAAATCACTGTTTTTACAAAAAGCATTTACCAAAGGTTACTTCAATGCTTTGGAGCCTTGGTTCTAAACTGGTGGGTCATGAGTGGACTCGCAAGGCCGTGGCCAGTGGGTCGCCGCATGCCTTCCACTTTTCTAGGTGAGAGGCTCCTCTGCCTCCCCCTAGCGCGCAGCACTGTCAGTTCCCTTGCCAAGCGGCCATGCAAAATATGCGGCCCGGTGCCGAGTGTCAGCTTGAGGTGGGGTGGGCTGGGGGTATGGCCGTGAGGGAACTCCATCCATAAGTACATTGCTTACAGCTCCCTCACGTGTCCTTTAGAGGTGCCTGGACTGGAGTGATGTCACATTCTGGCTCCCGGCACCTCTACAGGACCCGCAAGGGAGTTGTCCAAGCAATGTACACATGTATGGAGCTCTGTCACAGCACAGCAGCCCACACTGGACCCCAGGCTGAGGATCCATTCCAGTTCTCGTAAGGTAGGGAGACTAGGTGGATCTTTAAAAAAATTAAATTTTTTTTGAAGTGTGTGAGATTGTGGTTGTGTGTGTCTGTCAGTGTTTGAGGGCCTGTTCACACTAGTACAGTGCGATTAATGCACTGTACCACGCAATCGCACCTACTGTGGATTTTGGTGTGGGAGGGGTGTTGCATTGCCATTCATTTAAATGGCACCCTAAACACACCTCCCAGCCAGTTCGTAAGCCCGCACCATAATGCGCGGTACCCTAATGCTGTGTGTTCCATTGCAGTGCAAACTTGGTTAGGAAAGATATTTGCATTGGATAGGGAGATGGGAAAGGGTGGGGCTTAGGCAAGAAGTCAGGGAAAGTCAGGCTATGATACCAAAGTGAACCTAAATCAGAGAGGGGTGAAGAAGGGGCTTTCCTGACTAATAAAGGTAACTGTGAGCATATTGGCTCTTTGTCATGACATTAACGTTTAAAAGTGTAAACCTGAGTAAGTTTATGTTAAAAGGTCTTCACTCTGGCTGCAGTACAAAACAGTCTTTGCATGCGGAAAAATCACACCTTGTTATCCAGGTAACCACATTACTCAATACCACTCAGGGTAAAATGATTTCATATGTAGTTCAGTCCTGTGTCTGACAATGTGTAAGGTTTTATTCAGGCAGCAATAGTGTTTGGCAAATAACCAGGATGGAAAGGGGTGTGTATGTAGTTGGAGGTGCTATTGGCACAGCTGATGAAAGTGAATCTGTCTATAAGATGGCACTGTGATGATTCTGCTGTGGGGTGCTTACCCCTAGGAAATGATATTTTAGGGGCATATGTGCTTGGGGAGTTTCATTTGCATTGTGCAGAACATACAGCGATTGTGTGTGGGATGGAGCACCAGAGGAATCAATGATAAAATCAACTCTTTACCTTGTTTAAAAGCAATCAGTGCCAGCGAATGTAATTATAATATCAATGTGGGCAATGATTGTGGGAGCTGGAAGTTGGATGGAAGGCAGCAAATGTGATTTAACTGGGACAGTCTGCATTGTAAATGTGACTCCGGTGGGACAATCGGTGTTAGAAATGTGGCTGCGGTGGGACAATCGGCGTTAGAAATGTGGCTCCGGTGGGACAATCGGCGTTAGAAATGTGGCTCCGGTGGGACAATCGGCGTTATAAATGTGGCTCCGGTGGGACAATCGGCGTTATAAATGTGACTCCGGTGGGACAATCGGCGTTAGAAATGTGACTCCGGTGGGACAATCGGCGTTAGAAATGTGACTCCGGTGGGACAATCAGCGTTAGAAATGTGACTCCGGTGGGACAATCGGCGTTAGAAATGTGACTTCGGTGGGACAGTCGGCGTTAGAAATGTGACTCCGGTGGGACAGTCTGCGTTATAAATGTGACTCCGGTGGGACAGTCTGCGTTATAAATGTGACTCCGGTGGGACAGTCTGCGTTATAAATGTGACTCCGGTGGGACAGTCTGCGTTATAAATGTGACTCTGTTGGGACAATCTGCGTTATAACTGTAACAAATGTTTTGGTGTATTGGTCATATATGGTTGGGTCAATTTGCCTCATAGAATCATAAGAAGTAAGTGGGAGGGTTTAATGACATGTAGGCTGTGACTATATCATAAGAAGGATTATTCGAATAAACTTTGATGAGCTTGACTAACGGGCATGTAAATACATTAAAGGGGATCCATCAAAAAACTAAATACCTTTCCTAGAATACTTCGGTGGGAGCAGCGGTTTATTTTTTTAAGTTATCACCCCCTAGTGCCAGTTCTAAGACAGTGAAGCTGAACCTGTTCAGCTGCACTGAGAGTGTGCTGCATGAGGCAGTGTTTGGCAGCTTCCATCTGATTGGGGACTGGCTCCTTTTATACCTGGTACTATTTATTTTTGTTCCTTAAGTGCAGCTCCACCTTTCTGACAAATTTGATAAGGCTGGGCAGCAAAATCTGGCTCATCAATAGTTCTGCTCCTTTCTTCTCCCCCTACCTGTACAGTAAGAATGAGATATTGTCCACAGTATTTGCCTGGATTGAAATTCCCTCATTAGGTACAATGGATACTTCATGAAGGGCTATGGCCAGGTATTGGACGTTCAAATATTTACATTCTTTTAACAAGTAGTAAATCAATTTTAAAGCAAGCCCTCCCTGACCTCTGTAGGGTTGCGTGGTATTTAATCCTTAAAAGCTTCCAGCAGAACCTTCTCAATTTTACTTTCACCTTCTCTCAGTATCAGCTCCCCCCTCCCAGCACTGAGTTGGCAGACTGACAACCTTCTAACCTCTAGTGTAAACACAGGTCAACAGAAGGGAGAACAGTGCTAAGACCCGACCTGAATGACTTCGCTTCTTCTAATATGAACTTTAAGCATGAAATGCTCCACAGTGAATGCAACTACAGAGATATGTGAGGGCTGATTTACGGCTTGTTCAGAAAATGTAAATGTTTCTATGGCAATAGCCTGACCACAGTTTTACTTTAAATCACCTGCTGTACAAGAACAGGAGAGAAGAGGCAAAACATTTCACCAATCTGATTTTTCCCCTTGCTATAGTACATCAAATTTGCCAAAAAAGGTGGACTTTGGCCTTGACATTTGTTTCTCAGGAGAGGAAATGTAAGTCACTTATTCTTCAGGGCTTGTTTACACCATGCCCACTGAGCTGCGTTTTTATGCACTGCACCATGTTCAGTATGAACAGGGCACATAGAAAATTATGATTTTTTATATGCCCTCCAGCACCATAGATGTGCTGGAGTCTGCAAAAAAAACACAGCTCAACAGACACAGTAAGAACAAGTCGTCAGCATAGGCTTGGTTAGCGGCGTTTTCATAAAGATAATGCTTACGTTCTCATTGTAGCATGTTTTAGCTCCAACCAGGGGTGTCCCGAGGGCCGGGTGTCATCCGGTCTCTAGACCGGGTGACACCCCACCGTGTCGTCATCCCGCATGCGCGACCATCTGATTGATGCCTGCCAGCAGCCATCTTGGTGATGGACGCCAGTGTTCTATCAAAACCTCCAACTCCTCGAGATCTCCAAACATCTGACTTTACTTAGAAGCAAGAGGTTTGGCCGAGAAGGCTGTACTGCACGTGCGCCACCCACGGCACGTGCGGTACACAGCATTAAAGTATTAAAATGAACCATGGTCAGACTAATACAGCACGTTATTAATGTGAGTTACCCCACTCAGTATGGCCGCAAGCCACGGACATATTGAGTGGGACAACTCAGTCAGTTGACTGTCAGTCATTTTGGTGTCACCCCTGCAATGATGACACCCGGGTTCGGGCCGCCCCCCTTGTGACGCCACTGGCTCCAACTACACTAGCTTGTGATCTGATGAAAAAAGAGAAATAGTTTAACAAAAAAAACCTCACAGTATGTTGACATCAGTAATGTATGGTTCAGTTTCTATTGTAAAAAAGGACAATCCCATTCAAAGTTCATATTTCTGTTTAGCAATGGTGTGGGCAAGTGCAAAGTCAACCCGAAAACTGACTTTTGGGTGGCATTGCCCAGGAGAAGATGCTAATTGAACACAGGCTCCACCTAACTTAATTTGGCCCATGTGTTGTCTAGTGCATCAATACTATTCGCTGTTGACACACAAAAAAAGAAAGTTCTTAACACTGTAGAACCCAGTGCCGGAACACCAACAATTCAGCAATTGGCCGGAGGGGTCTTTAAAAAACCCCAAAACGTTTTTGTTTTTACCAACATCTCTCCTAATCCTCCGCTGTGCTTAGGCTTCTTGTGTCTCCTGCCGGCAGTAAAGAGTTCAGAATCCTCTATTGTCTTTTGCATGGATGCTCCCTGTCCCCATGTGCTGAATGTGGAACTCACGGTTTAAATCCGGCTCCTTAGAAATACAAACAAAGAGGTCCGTCATTGTGTTATTAGGCACAGAGTCCGTGAGCCGCACTTGTTCTCATAGCTGTGTTTCGTCTCTTGTCTCTGGGTTTGCCACCTGCTCTGTTTTGTAGCTGTTGCTGCTCTTCCGGCTCTGTGTGTCGTTGGCAACGTGGGCTAAAGGGTCCGACCGGATAAGATATCTAGATAAAAGGTATGCAAGAATTAAAAAGGAATGTATAGTAGATGTGCACTTTTTTTATTATTATAGTCAGAAATGTATTTATCTTTTTTTAGTCAGACACAGCTAAACTGTGAATCTAATATTTAGCCAGGAAGTAGAGCTTGAGCCTACTTTTCACATGTGAAGCATTGTGTGCTTCTCAGATGTGCTGGTATGTATAAGCTTTGTCTGCCATGTGGACTCTTTAGCCAACACATACCGCACTGGAAATCCTTTCTCTTGTAATAAATGTTTAGGAGATTACTATATATATATATATA